TATTGAGCTTCATCTTCTGGACAAGAATGCCAAGTTAGTCTCTCTTCATAAAAAGCAATTACAATTTGAGGACATTTCATATTTGCCTCTTTTGCCAGCACCAAGTCAGCCTCATCTGAATCTTTCCATTTCATGAGAAACATCAATTCTCCACTACTATATGTGGCACCAATTATTTGATCAGGATTAAGACCTCTAGCAAATCCTCTAGGTTTGTCAGCAGCATCTCTTTTCTTCTTTGATTTGCTATCATCAGATTCACTATCAGATTTTCTTTTTGTACCATCTTTTCTTTACCAGCTTTTTGAGAATTAAGAAATGCTTTGATATGGTTCTGGCACCTGCCTTGCAACCGCAAGGTCCCGAGTTCGATCCCCGGTACCAAAAAAAAAGGAGAAATGCTTTGATTAATTCTGGACAATCTAAATTTTCTTCAGGTTCCCATGTATTGTCGGCATCTATAAATCCCTTCCACTTCAGAAAATACTCCACCTTCCCATTCACTACACAACGGTCCAGTACTTTTTCTACCACAAATTCTTCAGGCTCTGCTTCCTCAACTTTTTTACTTTTTCCATTTTGTTTCTTTCCCATTTTTTGCAATTAGTTTTATTGGAGGCCATTTTTATTGCCAGACTTGCAGAGCTATTATTCACTGCCTGGGATGCTCGTGTTGTGGGTCCACAGCATCTGGGCCTGTGCGCCTGCAGCTCCACTCACATCTGAGCTCTCTTGGTTCTTACTTTTTCCCCGTTCCCCTGCCCTCCCTTCAACCCCTCCATCCCTCCCTATTTACAAAGACTTTGTTTCCATTTTTTTTGTTTTCTCATATTAATTCCATTCCCTTCTTTCCTTTCCCCTACCCCTCCCACTTCACCTCTACCCCTTTTCATCCTATTTTACATTATTGATTATACCTTTTAGTCCATATTTACACTTTGTTTCTCACACCAGAGAAACTATTTGATATTTACACATGTGTCCTATTTATTTCACTTAAGAGTATAGGGCTGGGGATTTAGCTCAGAGGCACCACACGTGCCTCACACGCTCAAGGTCCTGAGTTTGATCCCCAGTACCGCAACCTCCCCCCAAAAAAGAGTATCGCCTCAATGTGCATCCATTTAGCTATAAATGTCTCTAATTTTTCATTTTTTATGGCTGAGTAGTTCATTTTATTAAAAAAAAACACAACACATTTTCTTTATCCAGTCTCCAGTTGATAGGCACTTGGGCTGCTTCCAACCTTTAGCTATTACAAACTGTGCTGCTATGAACATGGGTGCACATATATTGCTGTGGTATGGTTCTTTTAATTCTTTGGGGAAGATGCCCAGTAGGGGAATAGCTGGGTCAAATCAGACTTCCAGTCCTAGTTCAAGGTATCTCCATAATGATTTCCACAATGGTTGCACCAGTCTACACTTCCACCAGCAGTGGAGCAGGGTTCCTCTTTCCCCACAGCCCCACCGGCATTTGTTATTGGTTGATTTCATGATAGCAGCCATTCTTTCTGGGGTGAGGTGGAATCTCAGCATTGTTTTCATTTGCATCTCTCTAATGACCTGTGATGTTGAACATTTTTTCATGTTTCTTTGCTATTTCTAGTTCTTTGTCTGAGAAATGTCTGTTTATTTCAGATGCCCATTTTTTGATTGGGTCTTTAAATTTGGGAGGTCTGATTTTTTAAAGTTCTTTATCGATTCTAGATAGTAGACCTTTGTCTGAGGAACAGCAGGTGAAAATTTTTTCCCACACTGTGGGTTGTCTCTTCACACTGTTGGTGGTTTCTCTTGCTGTGCAGAAGCATTTTAGTAAGAAGAGATCCCACTT